GTAATGTTTTTTGAAAAGATACATTGATTTCCTGCAGTCTGCACTTCTTTGCTGGTTCTGCGTTCAACACAGTGCCTGCACAGCTAGTAGCACGGTGTTAACTGCATCTCTGAGGACGCTCCCTTCCTCTGAGATCACATGGGCCTCTAGTGATCATCAGTCATGTGGGAAGGGATCATATGATTTCTCTCAAATGCTGTGCTTTTCATCTTCCCAAGAGCAGTGACAGTAGTTTAATGCAGAGTTTGTGCAGCATCTTCAAAGCCAAGTATTATTTGCCTAAACCAAAAGTGTTCCAGAGGGAAAAAAATCCTTGACAAGCAAAACAAATGGTTGTGTACAGATCTAGCTTTTATCTAGTGCTTCAAGTTACCTGACTGAGGGGGAAAGTTCAGTGCATTTGACCCGCAGTCTGTTTTCACACCAGCTTGTTTTCCTGGACACTCCTGACAAATACCTGCTTTATGTCTTTAGCCTCCTTTTGTTCTACTGTCTCCCAATTTAGAATGCTTGAAGCTATTGAACTACATCACTGTATTGCAAGTGTGTGCCTTTGGAGGCTTGTGTGAGAACATTGTTTCATTTTCTGTGCCTGAATCACTATTGTGAGCATAACCCAGATCAGAGAAATGCCTGAAAGTTGTTGTCATCTAATAGAAGTTGTTCGGTCCCATTCCAAACAGGCCCATGCCCATCTTAACAAAACCGCTAATTTGGCCAACAAGTGGGCTGATTGATGCAGTCTAGCCAGAGCACTGAAGAATCTGGAGCAACCTAGAAATGAAACTGTTGTTCTCTTAATGTGCTTGATAGTGAACTGGATCATTGATTAGGCATCTTGGCAAAGTGGTACTTTGCTGCTGTTTGTTCTTGAAACCAGAGATGGGGGCGAATATCGCTTTGCCATGATAGTCGGATGCCTTTCGCACCTGTCAAAGAATTACTTGATCTTGGTGCTGTGGTTTAGAGCTATTACTCTGTGCACAAGACCTGCTAAATTTTCATGTTTGTTTCTGCTGTTCAGTTCTAGCCATTTTCTTAGGTGGCACTCATGTATTTCACAGGGCAAACTGGACATTTCACTAATTTTCATAATCAATGCAGAACGTTTTTGGTTTCTTTCTTTTTTTTTTTTTCTTTTTTTTTTTTCCTCCAGGTTCTTGGGGCATCAGCATTCCGCATGCTGGCTTGGCATGTTCTGATGGGGAACCAGGTTATCTGGAAAGCTCGAGACATGGATCTTGTCCAATCTGCTTTTGATGTGCTACGGGTAGAAACCTTTTCCTTTGTTTCCTGACTGCATATTTTTACATATATTTCTGTAGTAGTCCAGGCTGTCTCTGACATGTAATCTTTTGGAGAATGCGTGTTAAATGATGTGGTTTGGGGAAGAGAGACAAACCAAAAGAAAAAAACCCAAAACAAACCTAAAAAAACCCCCAACCTTTGGATGTCTTCGTTGTCCTCAGCAACTGCATAGTCTTTCAAACTACGTAAGATACTTCTGATCCCCAAAATGAGGAGCATCTGCCTGAGCAGTTCTCCAAGTCTTGACTGGCCCTGGAAGTCAGGGAGAAAATGGTACTTTACTGGTTTAGCTCCAGTGTTTCTCTTGACATGTTTCCTTCCTTCTTTAGACTATGCTGCCTGTTGGTTGTGTGCGGATCATCCCCTACAGTGACCAGTATGAAGAGGCGTATCGGTGTAACTTCCTAGGGCTTAGCCCGCACGTCCAAATCCCATCCCACATATTATCATCTGGTAAGAACCTGTTGTAGAACCCTCTTCTTTCCCTATCATCTTATGTTAAAGGACACAAGATGATTTTTTTTTTTAATTAAGTATTGGCAGATATTCTAACAATGCTGCATGAACCAAAACCTGTACTGCTTAATTATTTTTTTTTCCCTATACCCTTGCCTGCGCAGTAGTTGAAAGGTGTGACACCTGCTTTAAGCACTGATCATACTATAGCTGACAGTCCTGGTGCCTGTGGAGGAAACATTAAGGCTGGGCCAAATATTGTAAGCTGACAGAGCTGTGCTTTCTCGGAGGAGGGTGTGTAGCTGTATTTTAAAATCTGGGCTCGTACAGTTCATGTTCTTTTGGGCTCTTGTTGCTCTAGAGTTTGCGGTCCTTGTGGAAGTTCGCACTGCTACCCGGTCCAGTCTCTACCCAACTCTGTTTGATGATGAGCAGTCCCTCAACAAATATGAGTTTGTTGTCACCAGTGGTAGCCCTGTTGCAGCAGATCGAGGTGGGTGATTTGAAAGCAGAAAGAACCTGTATCACTGAGGTTAAGAGATCATCTTGAACTGTTTTTTTTATGCTGTTCATGTACTGGCCCTTAAGGAAGTCTGAGTAGAGCTGGGTTACTGTTACTTGAGGTCTGTTTAATTATAAAGGGCTTGCTTTACCAGATCAGCATTTTGCTTATTAATTTTCAGAAATGAGTAACGAATTCTGTAATGAGTATAGTAGCAATTATGGGGAAATTCTTCTGTAACCCACAATGAATGTCTTCTATCCTGGAATACTTGTGTGTTTATTTTGAATATGTCTAGCTTATAAGGACTGTGACATTACTCATCTCCTGTGTTCCACTTGATAGACAAGTATGACTGATACAGAAATGCCTAGACTTTTTTTTTTTTTTTTTTTGCCTACTTTGTTCAAGGACTTGAGCACTTGCACCTAGGTGTAATTCGAGTCAGGTCCATCAGTCTCATGTTTTCTGGGAAGTCTTCATTTAGATGAATTGGCCTCATTGACTGTCTCAAAACACTTCACAGGTCACCAATCCTTTCCGCTCTGTCCTCTGAATGTACAGGTGCAATGCAAAGCAGAGACTTACTCTCTCTGTAGTGTTCTTTCTGTTGTAGATCCCACATGTATAATTACAGTAGTCTACTTTCCATCCAACCAGTGGCATGTCCAGAATCTTCTGGACAAAAATAGTCACTGAAAGGTCTTTTCTCCACCACAGCATCAAACTTATTAGGCCACGGACTGCTGGGAAAATAGCCTCCTAGTGAATTCCAAAAAGCGGTCCGGGAAAGGAATGCCTTGGGTTGGTTGTCCATTTGTTTTTATACTATATCCTGGAACTGCCCTTAACAAGAGGAACATTAAATCAAGAGTAAGTGGAGACTCTGAAGTTGAGGTTTTATATTTTTATATATATGAATGTATGTTGTACAAGGCATGAAGATTTTTCATAACTTTGCATTGTTTAGTGAGCTTTTGATATGGGACTAGAAACAACAAAATCTAAACAACTTCAATTTAAAAGTGGGTCTGAAGAAAACAAAGGCCCCTGAACCTGTGTGCAGATCTCAGGATCCTTCACAAAATTCCATGTTGCTTCTTGGGTCAGGTGTTTTTCTAGTGGGATGGTCTCTAGCTCCTCTTCCATTGAAATTAAATCAAGGCAGGCCACTGGGGGGTATATTTTTTCACCTTGTAGAATAGGTGCGTTTCTTCCTGACTCAAGGAATATTATTGTCTGTGACTAATCAAGCCAAATTCTGTGTTGAAATTGGCTGTGCTGTTACTAATAGTGTAGTTTTCTGCATATAGAGGAAGCTGAATTAATGCACCGGACCAAAGTACTATGAAACATGAGTGAAGGCTAGTGCTCTTGAACAGAGTAAGAGGCAGAACAAGTGTGTATTCTTGTCTGTAATTCCAGCAGGTATTCAGGCCCAGGTCACCAAATAAATGGACTAGTCCTTGCTAACAATTACTAGTAAGGGTGTGAGCGGGTAACCTATAACATGTGTGTCCTCTTTCTCGCCTATTTTCCCCTCTTCCTGATCTTGTAGTTGGCCCAACAATCTTGAACAAGATCGAAGCTGCCCTGACCAACCAGAACCTTTCTGTAGATGTTGTGGATCAGTGCCTTGTTTGCCTGAAGGAGGAATGGATGAAGTAAGTACAACTACATTGCTTTCAGAGAAAACAGCTTTGGCACTAATCCTGGAACGGTTACAGCAGAGTACAGGACAAACTTGTAGTCAGGTAACTTCTGCTGTAGTATTGATAGTAGTTGGCTTTGCTGTTGGGAGCCAAGAATATCAAAGTCCTTCTACTCTAGTCCTAACTCTCTTTTTGGCTTTCAGCAGTTCTTAACCTTTACGCTTCAGTTCACACATCTGTAGGTTACCTACATGACAATACTTGTCTGCCTTACATACATTATGAGGATTAAGTATGCAAATACATCTATGCCTGTCAATGCGCGCTATATTCCAGTACAGATAACATGCCAAACAGATGTCATGGTTGCACCTTCAGGCACTACATTTCAAAGGTGCAAGTAGTTATAAAGGAAGACCAGATAGTCGTGTGAAATAATTCATGGAACATTACAATCTTGTGAATTTACCTGAAGGCCAGATGGGCAGTAGGTGTGTCTCCCAGGGAGATTCTCAGTTGTCACAATTAATTGTTTTACTTTCCGCTAGAATGAAAAAAAACCCCTAAAACTATGCATATTACTACTGAAAATGAGTAATCCCCCTAACTAATCCCCCCGTTTCTTGTACACTTCTTCCCCCCACCTTCTTCATTCAAAGCATGAGAGTAGGTTCCATGGAATATTGTTTGAAGCTTTTATTAACATTTAGTTGCAGTAGGTACCAAGAGAAGCTACAGTTGCTGCTCACTCCTGTTTGATGCATGCAAGTCTGTTGGAGTAGTGACAGGAGTTTCTTGTTTCTGCAGTAAAGTGAAGGTCCTCTTTAAATTCACTAAAGTGGACAGCAGACCCAAGGAGGATACCCAAAAACTGCTGAGCATTCTGGGAGCTGCAGAGGAGGACAACGTCAAGCTTCTCAAGTTCTGGATGACTGGCCTGAGCAAGACATACAAGTCCCACCTGATGTCAACAGTTCGCAGCCCAACGTCCTCAGAGTCCCGGAACTAAAGGGTGCCCAACCTCACTTGCTGCCTTCAGATAATCGCAGGGAACCCCGAGTTACCACTGCTGAGCCTGCAGCATGTGCATTAGGTGGATAGTGAAATTTCATCACTATTCTTCTGGTCCTCAAACTAACTTGAAGAGTGACTCGAGTCTTTTCTAATTGCTGTGAGACTGGATTAATAAGTGCTAATAAATAATGCTGCTGTCTGTCCTGAAACACAGCTCTAAATCTAGACCTCCACACTCAAGACTAAAATAGAGCAACACTCAAAGAATCAGCGGGAATTAAGATACCCTACTGTCATCATTAAGCATTATGGTGTGGCAGTAGACCTCGGGTTTAGATTTCATTGGCAAGACTCGGATACCTGTGACAACGTCCAGAACTCCTGAGAGTGGATATAGTTAATCCCTCCGAATCGCACATAAATCTCCTAAATGTGCAAGAGAAGAACCAAAAATAAGTGACGCGTCACAGGGTATGGCTCACATGTAAATTACTTCGAACCACTTTATGCTTGGATTTAAGAAGAGACTATTTTCTGCTGTAGCATAAGTCAGGATATCCTATCAGAGTCCTGTCACTCCACTTTATTTATTTATATCTTAACTTGAGACAGTTTCAGCATTTGCTTTGGAAATCTTGTCTGGGAGGGAGAATTGTAATATAAGAAGTCTCAAAATGCAGCCTGCTTGCCTCTCTAGAGGGTAAAATACTCGCCTTGTTTTGCCTGTGGTTGCAAAACTTCCAGGTAATGAAGATAACCTCACCAGGATAAGGTTGCTGGTGTTCCTCTGTCTTCAGAAATAGTTTTCTAGCTTCGTAATTAAATTAAGCAGAAAAGATCCAACCTGTAGGTGCTCCCTTCTTATATAACTCTAGAGTAGCCATTTTTGCTTAATAGTTCATGGAAACATTGGTGCATTTTTTTAATTACCTAAACAGATATTCCTTATCTGTATTGTAAGGAATTACTGTTTCTGTTGTGAAGTCTTTTTGTCTTTTTTTTTTTTTTTTCTGGATCATTATTGGGAAAACTTGACGTTACTATAGACATTTTTAACAAGCTAGAGGCAGGTTTTACCAGGTGACCTTCTACACTCATTCAAACAAGACTCAAGCTCAGAGGGGATGTTCCAACTTGTCATGAGTTCTGTTCTTATATATAAAATATGCAGGTTGATTTTTGTCTGGAACATCTGTAAAATGGCGACAGGCATTAAATCTCGTTAAGAGCTATTTTTGTAAAATGGACAAAGCCTAGTTTTGTGTTGATTTTTTCAATGTGCGTGTGTGTTGGGGTGGGGGAAGCAGCAGTTGATCCACAAGGTAATTCCTGCATCTTAGCCTTGATCTAATTTACAGAATTTAACAGGTCTTTTCCTCTTAACTTTGTATGTGTTAGTTTCTTGTACATATGGAGCAAGAGATGCTCAGATATGTTAATTGAAAATCCTTGACTGGACATAAACATCTGCAGGATATTCAAACTGCAAACAGATGCTTGGAAAAAGGCATTACTCTGTTACTTCAAAAACTAACCACTTATTTAATTTTAGGGTTTGCAAAAAGGCTTGCATTTCCCAACTGACAGTAAGGAAATACGAGACAGAAGAGGTGCTCAGGCTCTGTCCACAGGAAAGGAAGCTCTGAATAATATATGCATCTTGCTTCCTCTGTGCTGGGTGCTAGTCATGAGGGAAGAACAAAGCCCACTGCCGGTGGGATAAAAGTGACAGAAGTAATTAGAAAAGCATGGACTAATAAATCAGCATTTCCAGTGCTAGGTTGGTGCTTGCTCTTGTGGCTGCCTTGTACGTGATCTAGTGCTCTTCTTTCTTCTACTGGAAAGCTATTCTGGTCCAATTCAGAGCTGTGTAACACAACAGGTAAGACATTATTTGGCATTTAGACCTTCTTGACTGCTGAACTGTTTCTGTTTAAGAATAGCTCTCCCAAGCAATACTAACATTAAAACCTAGTCTCTATCTAACCTGCAGTTGGTGCATAAGCACTCGTTAGCAAAGCCCGTGTTTCTGAACAGAGGCGTGGTTTCTTCCAAAACAGCGATCGCAAGGTCAAGCTTGAGGTTTCACCTTCTTCTTCCATGTGCCTCTGTGAGCGGTCAGTTGTACGCAGTGTTCTGGTCCGAAACACAGCCAGGCTCTGGGTAATGTATAGTTTTTGAGCCAGGTCAGGGAAACCACTAACTTAACACGTGTAAAATGCCCACAGGAAAGAAGGGGGAGAGTTGCTGAAATCTGTGAACCCAGGGCTCCTGTGTAGCCTAAAACCAGCTGCGCTCGCCTGCCAGAACAGATCTATACGTGGGATTACCAAATAACTGTCTGGGCAAGTTCCCGCAGCTCACAGATTAGGCCGCAGGCGCTCCTTTTGCCGTCAGCAATAGCTGGAGTGTGCACGCTCCTCTTAGCACTACTTAATTAACAAAAAAGCCTGTCTGCAGCCATCTTTCACCACCCTCCTTCCCTCTAAACGGTACGCCTTAAAGACAAACTGATTAAAGCAGGATCTTTCTTTATTCTGGCGTGATTTCCTTTTCTGCGTGGCCGAGCAGCGCGTACCTGGGAGGGAGGTGGGAGCGGTGAGCGCTGCAGCTGCAGGCTGACAGGGCAGAGACCAGCTGGTTGTGCTGCACTTAGAGCCAAAGCCTTTTTGCCTTAATTCTGCCACCTCTGTCCCCTCAGCCAGGCAGGATCCGCCTTAAAGGATCCCTTGAGTAGATGGTGTGGAGCCGGCTGGTGTTTGGGGCAGGGTTAGAGTCAGCTGCAGCCTGCTCTGGACCAGCTCCTCGGTTCATCCAGAAGCACCCAGCCACCTTTCCCCCCCCCACCCCCCCGAAGCAGCCCAAGCTCCCCCCTGAACCGAGAGGACGGTCGGCTCGGGGGCCGTTCGACACTCGGCGGCGG